CCGCTTTCTGCAGCTACTCCGTACACTTGCGGGTAGTAAAATTATTTTGCGAACACTGCACTATTGCATTAGTCTCTTCACACGCTGCGCATGGATCAAGATAGCATATATATAGCAACTATGTGAGTGTGTGTCATGTACAGGTGTTGCAATATGATTGGACATAGCTAAAGCAACTCTAACCCTAACAGCCTGTCAATTTTGTACTGCATGCATGCTGACGAGGCTGCATGGTTTCTCCAAATTCATGCTGACCGAGTTTCTGCAGTTGACTAGCTTTGACTGAGGGTTTTGATCCTTTAATAATATATACGTATGGTGGATTGTGTTGACATTTTGTGATCGCTTAAGTTAAAAAATAGTATGTTATGGTAGTTCTGTTAATTCTAATACATGTTGTTGGCCTAGATTTTTTAACAAATGATTTTCATAGTTGAATTTAGCAGTTAGGGAGCTCTATTCATTAGAAGATATGAATGATATCTCAAAAAAAATTCAAAATTCATTAGAACATATAATATATAACATATAATAATGAATATCTCTAAAATTCGTTAGAAGATATATTACAAGCATTTAGAGGATACGAGTAAAATTCATTAGAACCTATATAATATATACTTTAGAAGTTTTACAATGTTAAAGGTGTTGATTTGCATAATTGTTGAGCGGATTAAAGATGTGGTCCAATTATAAAAATTCCATCCCACATCAAATACAACACATAAACACACCTAACATAACCAAACAAGCCAATATATATGTATATATAAAAAATAACTTATTTAAACTATTATTGTAAATGTTTCATGTTCTCCAAAATTACAAAAAAAAATGTGCACGTTAAATTTAAAAAGTAAAATAAAAAACCATTTAAAAAAACAAATAGGATAATATTAACTAGGATGGTACTGATGACCACATTCCCTCAGCATCATGTGTCATGTCTTGTACACAACTTCACTCGTCGAGTGAATCCATATGAGGATTTCGGGCGCCCGAAGAGTTTTATATATTTTCCATCTGAGGATTTCGGGCGCCCCAAGGAGTTTTATATATTTTATTAATATTTTTTACACATATTTAGAAAATTAAATATAACTTAAGTGATTGTAGAAATATAAATTTCTAAATGAAGTTATTTCTTAATTAGTTTTTTTTTCTTGTTTTTTCATATTAAAGTTATCTTATTACAATGTCTTTTTTATTATTGTAACTTTATATAAATCTCTCATGACATGGCGTGGTACTATAATAATTGTTATGTTAGAAAATTGTACCAATGAAAATTCGTATCTACTATGAAATAAACTAAGAAATGAAATTACAGTAAATTCTTTGATCAACATATTGAGAAATATTATCACTCTCTTACCAAAATCGAGTAAAATTTAATTTGTGCACTTATTAATATTGTGAAAGGTAGGAAAATCATGAGATTTTGGCATAATATACAACTTAATGTGTTTGCAGTTGATAGATGAATATTTTTGTTTTGATAATAATATATCTTAAGTCATCAAATATTTTTTTTAAAAAAAAATAGAAATTTTATATAATGTTAAATTTTTTTTTGTCTTATTTGTGCCATTTTTATCGTTTTTTCAACGAGGGCCCAACGCAGTCGGTATGAAAATCACGTTCATACGCACAATTTTTGAATCTCTCAACCACCAGCTTACATGCTCGGGCAAAAATATTCTATAGGTTTCCAAGGAGAGGCCTTATCTGTCATCAGTCGTCACAAAAACAAAATGAGTGTTGGTGTATGAAATTGAAAGATGCGAAAATTATACCAAGAGACATTAACATACAACAGATATTGGTAAAGCATCGAATAGAGCAGTGATCAGTATCACTCCGGTGAAGTAAAAATACTAAATTTGATTCAAATCAGAACCGAGAAAAAAATTGAAAACGTACAATTAACTAGCACACAACAAGAAATTCCCAAAATTAATGAGACTGTCGGGAGAAAAGGAAAGTCGGTCAAAACATGTAACTGTTCCAAGACTAAGCCTCCTAAGATTACCCCATCTAGTTCCAATGTCATGTTCGCAAGGATGTGCCCCTACGACGTCAGCCACCATGTCGTTCATTCTACATGAGTAGCAATTGGCAAACACCAAAACGTGAGGATTCAATCGATGGCTAGGCGACATCTACATGCAGCTCGATCAACCAACATATTCGGGTAAACAGAAAAAGTAGTCCTCTAACGACGTTCATAGTGCGTGCTTTGTGACCCCACAATTTCCAAGTTTTTAGTGGCCTTCCAGAGTATGATTTTCCTGTATGATGCTATCTACACCTTATTATATTCTTGTTGTTTGATGAATGAATATTGTGTGTTTAAGCCTTATTTTGTTAATGATGGTTGACGACTTAATATTTAAGTATTTATGCCTTATTTTGGTGATCATGGTTGATGTATTAGTATTTATGCTTGTGTAGTCCTCATGAGAGACAACACAAGCATCACAACTCAAGCTGGTTGGACCCCACACCTGAGGTGATGAAGATGACCGAATTAATTAGACAAGTCGACAACATTACTTATTGTCTGACCTTCATCGCGCAAAAGCTCGAGAAGGAAAGACCTTCTCGATCTTGTCTACAACAATCACCGAGTAAGGACGTCTCACCACAACTCCCGCAAGACGGCCCCAAAAGTCCTATGCTTCTTCGTCGAACAAAACAGACATAAAAATAAAAACTGCAGTCAGCAATAGTATAGATCAGACCCCAAAACAAATAAAGTTTTTCAAAGTTTATATAGCAAATACCATTAGGATGTGTACGCGACAATATACAAAGTTAACATACTTCCATACTTTTAACCTTGTACATTAAACGTATCGTTGAGAATCTTGAGATTGAAGTTTTGATTAGTTATTGTTAGGTATGTACGATGGATAAGAGGTATATGATGTTAGAAGGTACCGCCTTATTTTATTTTCTTGTAGTTGTCTTAACGATATTGGATTCTCACTGTTGAAGCTTGAAGAAGCCATGGAAAGTATGGAAGAACAGAGAAAGCTGTATTCTGTTTTTTTTATTAAAATGAGAATGATGAAAAGCATATGTTTTCATACAGAGGACGGTCACCACGTGCTAACTGCCTAACTAATCAGAGTTACAATTAACTTCATGAACTGATTAATAATGCATAGTGACTACCAAAGCTAATTATTGTACTTATTATAATACACCCTCTTGAAACCGAGCCATCTTGAGCAAGGCATTTGGCGCGCAACGGAAGCCGAGAATTCAGCAAATGGAAGCGACCAGGAGAGAGTGGTTTTGTAAGCAAGACTGCAAGCTGGGAAACAGAAGGAACATAACGAACCTCCACATCTTTAGCATCAACCTTTTTGCGAACAAAATGAACATCAATCTCAATATGCTTAGTTCGAGCATGATGAACTGGATTAGATGCAAGAGCCGCTACACTATCATTGTCACACCACATAATAGAGGGAGTTTTAAGAAAAAGACCAAGCTCCAGAAAAAGCGATCGCATCCAAAGCAAATCAGTGGTGGCATTAGCAAGACTCCTGTACTCAGATTCGACACTGCTCCGAGAAACAACTGGTTGCTTTATTGAACT